AAAAAAGACCCTACCTCTACTAAAAATAGAAAAACTAGCTGGGCAAGTGGCAGGCACCTGTATTCTCAGCTACTCAGGAGGCTGAGGCAAGAGGATCACTTGAGCCCAAAAGTTTGAGGTTGCTGTGAGGTATGACACCACTGCACTCTATCAAGGGTGGCAGAGTGAGACTCTCTCAAAGCAAAAACAAACAAAAAAAAGTCCCCTTTAGAAGGCCACAGCTCCTGTGGGTGGCACTCTCTGGGTTCCAGTAACTGCTCCTCCCCAAGCCCAGCCACTGCTGGCCTCAGGTTACTGGGCCAACCCGTGCAGGCTACCTATCCCGGGTCCATGCCTTTGTGAACAGCAGTGTTGTGAAACTCTTTCAGTCACCCTGTCAGACTATTCTATATGTCTCCTGGTGGAACTCTGACTAGTACAAATGCCAAAAGGAAAGCCAGGGAAAAGTAACAAGATGAAGGACAGGGAAGGCGAAGGAAAGGAAGGTATCCTCTCTTCTTCCTCTGTCCTTGTCTCTATAAACCTAATTTATAAGGTACTCTCCAGCTTGTAAAGTGCTTTCTATTCAGTAACTCACGCTCATGACTCTTCTGGGAGGACAATCGTGGTGAAGAAACAGGTGTCACCCAGTTAAAAAAATGATAAGAGCTCAAATCAAAGAAATCCAGGGCTGCTAGCTGCTACTCTCCCCTCAAATACTAACAACCCAGTACTTACCTGCCACAGCATGTCTATGTGTGTACACACCCACAGCCACACACACATTCTTTATGGTTAATATAGCGACACATGCTCTCTACCTCCTAATAGCCCCTTTCTCGTAAAGGAAGCAGAATGAATTTTGTGTTCAACCCTTTATACTTTATGAGAAATTTTGGAATACACTGTCTTCTTATAATCTGAAACATCTGTCCCATAGGGGTCTTTGTCCTCTTCCCACAGAAAAGAAACAGGCTTATGGAGGTGAAGCATATACTGCCCATAACCTGAAAACATCTCAACGTGGCTTGGACTATACCCAACTCATATCCATTAAACCTTATTTTGAATTTCTGGACACTACTTCCATAACAGGTACCCACTGAATCTTGGTACTATTTACCAATTGACCAGGCATGCCTTCCAGGTAAATCCCACTTATGACCTTAATGCCCAACGCTTTGTATTATACCAATGCAGTAAATTCAAAGCAAAGGCAATGCTTCATGTAAGAGAAAAATCTATGAGATGAAAATGCTATAGACAGAATGATAAAAGTAGTAAGTTAAAGTATTACTTGTTACTAAAATTGAGTTTAGCCAAAAGAAAAAAGTACAGCCATCTCTCAGGAGCCATGATGATTGGTTCCAGGAGACCAAAATCTGAGGATGGTCAAGTCCTACATGAAAAGGCATAACATTTTTCATATAACCTAGGCACATCCTCCCATATGCTTTAAATCATCCCTGGATTACTTATAACACCCAACACAAGGTAAACGCCAGGGAGACAGTTGTTTTGTGGTATTGTTAATTTGTACTTATTATTTTTTTTAAATATTTTTGATCCACAGTTGGTTGAACTTCAAATATAGAACCCATGGATACGGAGGGTGGACTACATATATGCTAAGTGATCAACAGAACAGTGCGTTATCACAGAGACAAATGGCTTTTTTTTTTTTTTTTTTTTTTGAGACAGAGCCTCAAGCTGTCACCCTGGGTAGAGTGCCCTGGCTTCACTGCTCACAGCAACCTCCAACTCCTGGGCTCAAGCGAGTCTCCTGCCTCAGCCTCCCAAGTAGCTGGGACCACAGGCGCCTGCCACAACGCCCGGCTATTTTTTGGTTGCAGCCATTATTGTTGTTTGGCGGGCCCAGGCTGGATTCAAACCCGCCACCTTAGGTGTCTATGGCTGGCGTCTTAGCCGCTTGAGCCACAGGCGCCGAGCCTAAATGAACTATTCTTAACAAATGTGTAAGCCAAATTTCTTGTGTATTTATTCTAGTTTTATAGAATTATACAATCTCAGACTTTGACATGGACATTTTAACAACTTTGAGTTCCACAAAATCCCTCGCTCTGTCCTTCAATGGTCTCCATAAATATGGCAAAAAAATGTTCCTAGGAAAGTTATTTGTACCTTCAGGCAAAGACTCTGCCTTATCTTATCCCAGCTCATCAAAATACCCAGAAATGAGACTATTTAAGAATCATGCTATTAAAAAAGCCACTTTATCCAGTATGCATAATCGGCTG